AAAAAAAAAAGTGGTACATGCTCTTAGCTGCTGAAGTATCTCTCCAGCCCTACTTTTCAGACCTTTAACACTTGTTATTGTGTTTAGTAGCTCACCTGCTGCAGCAGGTCTGGGCCTCATTTCAACCTCCCACACAGTACTGTTGTGAGTCTGAGGACCACATTAGAAGCAGTAGAATTTGGGATTGTTATATAAACTTCTGTTTTTGGTTTGGTCTGTGATGCCGTCTTGCTATATAACCCTGGGTAGCCTCCACTCACTATCCACCTGCCTCGCTCTCCTGAGTACCAAGATTGTAAGCATGTGACCCATGCCTTGCAGCTTCTTAATTCTTATCACATAGAACATTCTTGAAAAAGAATGACTACATTGAGCAATATTTTGATATATTTGTATGACATAGCATGTTGAAATAACAGCTGATTTTGTTTATTGGGAAGTGCTGCTTTCCTCAGAGCTCCAAGTACAGGCTCCTGTGAGAGGATAAGGACACAGTTAAAAAAGAAGCAGGTAACTGTCTTATTTCTAGAGTCCGTCAGGAGCCAGGTGACCTACTGCAACTTGCCTCTTTCATCTTCATAAACATGTGGACATCGGTATTAAACATGCAAGGTTTATGTAAGATTAAAATAGAGAGTAAGCTGAAGAGAAAGCCTTGGTGGTCATCAACATGGTTGCGTTAGTATATAAGGACAGTTGACTTGCTTTGTAAGTTCCATTGTTCTTCTTTGTGCTTGGTAATGTACAAGCTTTTACTGAATTTAAAAGCACACCTCCCTTGGAAACAGGAGGAGCTTCATTGAAACGATTAACAGTGGAGAGACATCAAAATGCATGTTTTAGTTCTCTGTGATATTAGGTGCTGAGATATAAATTGATTGATTTGTTTTAGTAATTAAAAGAGGAGACATGAAAAGAAATCCAGCTCAGACTATATTCTCCTTACCTCTTCCCCAAGATGCTCCTGCCCTGTGGTGCAGTGTTCACAGCACAATAGCCATGTCTCTGTCCACCTTGCAAATGGAAACCACATACTGCTGGATCCAGATTCTCCATTTCCTCCTGAGCCCAGCATCCTATGTGAGCATAGACTGTGCAGTCAGAAATCAGTTTTAAGCTATGGCATTTAAATAAGCTCTTTAATAATAGAAAGGGCTTTCTCCAGTGTTCATCTGCCTCCTTTGTTAGTTTTCTATCACTATGGTAAAGTACCTGAAACAATCAACTTATAAAGAAGAAAGATTTCTTTTGATCCACAGTTTCAGAGATTTCAGTCTGTGGTTGACTGGTCCTGTTCCTTGGAGCTGGGGTGAGACAACACATCATGCTGAGAGGGTAACAGAGGAAGCCACTTAAAAGAGAGACAGGAAGAAGCCAGGGTCCCTGTGTCTCCTGCAAGTGCATACTCCCAGTGACCTAACTTCTTTCACTAACCTCACCCCCTCTTTAAATAGTCCACCACATCCCAATTGTGCCAAGCTACAGGCTAAACCTCTAACACAGGACTTTGGGGGATGTTCCAGATCCAAACTGAAGCACCCACCCTCCAGTCTAATGAGGTTCAGGTAGGTTTGTATGTTAGCAAATGAAGAGCTTTGCAAATTACCTGGACATAGAAGAATAACTGCGGGTGCCAGTCTTTGTCCCATGTACCAAACAGTAATTAGACCCTCAGATATGTGTGTCTCTGATGTAAACAGCCCAGTACTGCTGCTGAGGCTGGGAGCCTCTGTCTACAGCTTGTCATGGAAATTAGAATTTTTACAAGGGCTTCGAGGGCACCCCATCACCTCACAATTAACTGCATGGATTAGATCTGATTTGCAGCCCTAAAACCCTGTAGGTGGAGTCAATCAAAGGCAAACTCCTCATATTTTGTAGTTTCATCCCATGCATCATTTCTTATTTCAAAGTGTGTTCCAAGAAACACCACAGGGATCTTCATGAAATAGATTTCACAGACAAAAATAACAGAAAAAAATGCCCTACACAGTGTCTGTCTCTAGTACATGTACAATAGTCTGTAGATACTAGAGGCTGAAAGGGAAGATTTGCGGAGTTCTGGGGTGGTTTGCTTGCTTAGTTGCTTGTTTGTTTTAAGGCCAAATATTCACAAATGTGGTTTTTGTAGAACCAGTCAATGTGTTCATCTTTGTAGGCCATTGTAGCATGAAGCAGGCCACTGATCGTGGGTACACTAATAGATACATATGTTCCAATAAAACTTTATTTATAGACCCTGAAATTTGATTATATGTAATTTTCACACCACAAAGTTTCTTCATCTCTAAGTCTTTAACCATTTAAAAATGTAAAAAAATAAAAATTAAAAAAAAAAAAACCATCCTTAGCTCAAGCCCATTATAAAAACAAACAGCAAGCTGGTTTTGGTCTGTAGGTCCCAGTTGCCCTAGAATCCCTAGTTTCTTTTAGTGTCCTATCCCTGTAACTATGAAGCCACTTTCCCACCCCACCTAGTGACTCTGTGACTCGTGCTCCAAATTTGGTATGCAGGGCAGCAAGCAGCAACATCCACACCTGGGCCCTTGGAGAAGTGTGTATTCTGGGACTCCATCTCAAACCAAGCAAATCGGAATCTCTGGAACAAGACTAGAACATCTTTAAAAAGCTCTCAACTTGAAAAGTACTGATTTGGGAGCATTAAAGGAACATCCATCCATTCATTCCAAAGTCAATTAACATGCAGTGAACACCTACTAAGGACCAGACTCTGTACTGGTGATTTGAGATAATTAACAAGAGACCTTTGGGGAAGTACCTTACATCAGAGCCCCAGAGAATCCTTTTGAGAGGCTCTGCTTCCTGGTTTCCTCTCTTGCTCTTTGGGGGACACACCACCAGCTCAGCGATGTGCAGGAGTGACACTTTCCATGCCACCTGGATAATAAATGCCACCTCATTATTAAGATTCTTTAGCTACTGAAATGCCTGCTAGTCAACATCATTATGCCTGTCTCCTAGAACGCAATTATGCATGGGCTTGGGGTTTGTAGGGACAATTTATCAAAGAGTAACAACAAATACCCCAGCAGGTGACCTGCTCTCTGGCTTTTCTCATGGTTCTCACCAGGAGAGTGGTCATTGCTCTCTCTGCTTTGAAATGCTGCATGTCTGAGATCTGTCACTCACCAGTCTTCCACCCAAGTCACAGATAAGCCTACATTTGAGAGTAAGACAAAGGTATGGGAACCCTGGGGGGAACCATGAAAGTGAAGAAGACAAGGCTATCTGCCATATGGCTTCTCTGCCAGCCTGCCACCTGCCCATCAAGCAGCCCCTGGCAGGTTGCTGGCAGCCCGGAGCCAGGGGCTGCACAGCTGTTCTTCTGCTGAGAATAGCAACATTGAGAGGAAATTGCCAAGGAAACACAGGAGACAGGAGTGAGTGACTGAGTGTGTGTGTGTGTGTGTGTGTGTGTGTGTGTGTGTGTGTGTGTGTGTGTGTGTGTGTGTGCGTGTGTGAGAGAGAGAGAGAGAGAGAGAGAGAGAGAGAGAGAAACACATCCCTAACTAATCCCAGAAGAGTGGAAAATGGCAACTGTTCTAAGTCTGAAAATGCCCAGACCCTGCTTTCTGATAAACTGGCCTATTAAAAGCAAACGGCAGTAGCTTGCTTGCTGAAGGAGATGCCTCAAGAAATGAAGCAACAAATCATCAAGATGGAGCCCAGGGCCAGAGGTGCCCTTGTTTGTCCCTTGATGGCAATCCTCAGAGGGTGCTACTTGGAGACCAGTGGCTCTATGTTCCGCTCGTCTCCCTGGTTTTTGCTTCCAGTGGTGCTCAGCCACGGGAGCATGACTCACTCCAGCCATTACTAGAGGAAAGCTAATTAACAGAACCTGATTTTGTTGGGCTATTCTGGAGGAACAGACTCTGAATATTAAGCTCCACCATCCTCAACAAACAAAGTTGATTGGAAATGTCTGTAACTGACTCCCTCAGCAGCCCATACCGTTGATATTGTTTACCCTGTTGAGAAAATAAGGCTCAGAGAGGGTGATGGTCTTGCCCACAGTCACCAGCTTCTGAGTGCCAGAGTTAGCAGTCCAACTTAGTCCTTCAGATGTCAAGGTCCTGATCTATTCCACTGCCCTCTGATGGATCTACTCACTCTTCCCAATGCACCATTATTTTACTCGGGAGGGTAATTCTCCTATCATTCTGGAGAACAGTGGAAAATTGTTTCTGCTCATCTTAGGTCAGGACTGACTTGGTATAAATTCCTTTCTATTTCTATTTCGTAGATCTCTACATTCTAAAATGGAGACCTGAATTTAATGCACAAGACATTTCTAGCAGTCCATTGTATCCAAGATAGGCACTTGAAAAGTAGCATGCTCATGTTATCATACCCTTTGGTTTTTTTTTTTACTGACTGTCCATGAAACTAACCTAATGTAAATTTATTACTTTTTAAAAATGATGGTAGTAGAATTCAGCCCCCAAATTTTCTTTTTATTTTCCAATGATTTTGTACATGACACTTTTCCAGGCATCAGAAGGTAGAAATGAACTGTGAAGGCTGTCATGTTCAAAGTGGGTTCAGTTTAGCATTCTTCCTATTTAACAGCCCTAAATTGTAAGACTTACTTCACAGGCGTAGAGCAAGTAAGATGCTAATAACGTGCAGCAAAGCCAAACCCCAGAGGGTTTTGCTTTAGCAGCAGAGATGGTGATATGAGAGCAGCCCTGGGAGAAGGGAACGCGGGCCCCTTCCTCCTGATTCAGTTCAAGGACTGGCCCCTGGGGATTGTGGCGGATCCCTTGCCTCCCAATGAGTATGTTAATAGATATTTTGACAATGAGTTTTTCATTTTGGTTTTTGCAAAAAGTGATCCTCAAACAAATAATAAGAATAGTGTGGTATTGCTCCAAAGTGCTAAATCTAATGTCCTCTCCCAGAGTCAGTTTTCAATAAAGGGACAAACACACATGAGCCTATCAGTTAGGAAATTATGCTCCTATGCAACACTCCTCTCTATTTTGAGTTTTCTTGGTCCTTTATGACTTAGAGCAGCACTAGTTGCTGTAACAAAGCAAAATAGAACTTTCATGCATTTAGTCATGCAGCCCACTGGGTGTATGCTGTTAACTATGGAAGCATTCAGGTGTTTCTAGTCAATTGTCAAGTTTCCTCTCTTCAAGGATTCAAAAGACTGGATTTTATGTAGTCTCTTGGCTCAGCCACGTTCTGGGGCTCTGCTTCTGCTGGCAGACGGGGAACACCATAATAGCCTCTTAGTCTGACAAGGCACTTACCATTTCTACTCATGGACCATCTCTATCCATGCGGTGCAAACTCCTTGCATGGAAGATTAAAAATGTAATTCCTGGCTAAGCATTCATTCTCCAGAGACCACACTTTGCCCCGTAAGAGGGAGGACTAATTCCAGTGCATGGTTAACCATCTCGGACATGAGACATGAGCCCCAGCCTTCTTCAGGTGTGCTGTTCAAAGAAGCCGGCATCATACAAACACTTATTTCAAACTCTTCCTCAGGCTCCATCTGGGGACATGACTCCCTTAGGCAACCCTGCTGTGCCCCCTAGGCACCATGCATGTCCTCTGGCATCATTACTATTCCTAAGAATTCCTTGGCTTTTGTCTTTCCAACTAGGCTGTAGCAATGTGGAGGCAGTGAATTTGCCTGTCTTGTTCATCATATCCCCATTACTTGACACTGGTGCTCAGTAAGTATTTGAGAGCAGAAAAGGATGCGAGGAAGAGAGGCGGGAAGTGTGTTCAGGAGGAGTTTTGGTTTCACCACCTACATTTGTTCCTGCAGGATTTCAAGAGTAGCCAAAAAGTAAGCTGGTCAGAACACTGGATCCAATTCCCCTTTGGAATCACTCCCGCACAAACATTCTTGACAACCTGCAATAACAATTGCTAAATATTTCAAAATATAATATAGTGCTACACATGAACAACCAAAAATGTCTATTAATGTTGATACTATGTGGATGGATCTCAAAATAATTATACCAAGTGGGAAAGTGATGTGAAACATCTCACATCATTTCATTTATTCGTAATTCTAAGACATGCCAATTACAGTGACAAAAGGGAGATCAGCATTTTTCTGGATGTGTGGGTGAACGGGTGGTGATTGGCAGATGGGTAAGATTACAAGAATATAAGGAAACTTTGGAAGTAATGGATTTGTTCATTTTCTGTTTTGTAGTCTTAGGTTCCTGCGTGTATACATCTGCCAGAATTTCAAACTGTACAATTTAAATCTGTGGAGTTGATTGTATGTCAACTGTATCTCAATAAAGCTGCTAAAGATAATAGACAGACAGATAGATGATAGATATCTGATAGATGAGAGATAGATAAATAAATGTGACATTAAAAACATACCAACAATGAACTGTATCCTCTACCCCATCATTCATAAGCCTTGTTTGGTTTGTGTCTTTACAAATACATTAGATGAAGCCAGGTGCACTGATTTAAACTTGTCATTGCAGCACACTCAGGAGGCCAGGGTAAAAGAATAGTTAAGTCTGAGGCCAGCCTGGGCTACAAAGAGAGACTCTATCTTAAAAGAAGTATGTAAACACGTATCTGTCTCAGTGAGGAGGCTGATGAATACTAATTTCTAGTACCTTTTGGAGAAATGACATGATTCTTCTGATCCCCTCATCTGAGTATGGCTTCCAGTTCAGAAGATGGCTGAGACATTAGGACAGTGTAGGGATTTAGATCTTCCAGTCTATACATGCCTACACTTACTCATCTAAGCTGTCACATTTTCCAATCTGCTTCTTCCCAGGTTCTGGGGCCAAACCTATCACTGACTTACCAGCCTAGGCACCCAACCACCCCCCACCACTACCATGGCTGAAGATGCGGACATGCGCAATGAGCTGGAAGAGATGCAGCGGAGGGCTGACCAGCTGGCCGATGAGGTAAGGAATAGAGTCCAGGGGTGATCTGAATCAGAACTCAGGTTCTGGGGAAAGATATCTTCTAATGGCTCAATTTAAAAAAAAAAAAAAACAGTACAAAGACTTCCCGTTTCTGTCTAAGGTGTCTGCAGGCTAGAATAGGTTGATTATAAAGCCTGTATACAAACTAGTGTCTTGGCTCTAACTCTTGACTTCTAGATACTTAAGAGACCAAGATCCTCTAAGTAAAGCATTATCTTTGAATGTTTTGCAATTTACCATAGTTAATTCAATTCTGAAAGTTGATTAACACTTTGAGAGACTTTCTAAGCTGCTTGTTAAATATGGCTGTTATTAAAATTGAATGATATAATCTGAAAATTAGGTATATCATATAAAACTAAATGGTACTATATCCTCAAAACATTATTCTCTAATTAGTTTAGTACATTTATTGCTGTCTATGCTCTTAAGTTATTTATATTCACTGTAAAACGTAATACACTATATGTACAAAATGGAAATCCCAGCAGATCTCAGCCACAGGGTCAGCAACACAGCACTGAAGTTAGAAATCAGATACAGCACAAATACTTACAGGCCAGAATTGGAAAACACTACCAATCAGGGTTTTCTTTATTATTTTGTTGATTACCTAGACTTAAGACAGAAGAGAAAATATTAATAATGCAAATTAAAATTTAAAAATATGCATGCCTTCAGCCACTACATTAAGAATAACACAAAAACAATGAGGAAATTTTCCATTATTTGGAAACTATGATTCTTCTCAACAAAGGCATCGCTTTCCTTATAATGAGTCAGATTCCACTGTAAGCCTTCATTGTTTCATTTTCTTATTATTCATGAACATAAAGGAAGTTTTCCAGTGACCACATCAGAACTATACTAGTTTGGCATATGGTTAGCTACAGACGGACTACAGGAGCTTTCTGTGGGAATCAGTTTGGTCTATGAAATTTACAGCACAATGCTACATTGTGTAATTTGTCCACTTTGTGTATTCAACCTCTGTATCAGAAAAAAATTGAATACCATCACTGTATTCATATATTTTTCCAGAGAGTTGTTTGTTAAAAATGTGTCAGAATACCACTGCTCATAGCCATTGTATTCTAAAAAGCAGTCCACTGAAGTCTCTTCCAGCAGACATTAACATCCTCAGGTTCCTGCAGAATCATGTCCAAAGTGTTTGCTACTCAGACGCATGGTTTTGAGAAATCACACTGGCTGTTGGATTCTAACTATGTTAAATGAACTAAGAAAAAAAGTGGTGATGCCGCCCCTGAGGGGTGAGCACTGAGCTCAGTTTCATCATGTTTTTTCTTGTCTGTGGAAAAAAATAATCATAACTGCCTCCCACAGGCTAGTTATTTCAAACATGCTTGATTTTTTTCTACCCTAAGGTGGCAGCTTAATTTGTATTGATAACAACTTCCAATTGTGTTTCAAAGAGCTTTATAAGAAATTTGTCATATTCATCTCAACTCATAAAAAATTATCCTTGTGTTTAAAATGTGATATTCCTTGCCTGAGGAGGCCAAATTAGATCACAGAGTAATTCAGATACTTTTTTGTGCATTCGGAGCATGCAAAATTATCCTTTCCGGATTACTTTGCCTTTGATATCAAGATCAGCGTCACATGGTTCTGATTTTATGAAGATAAGATGTAATTGCTTTAGGGAATCTGATGATGTAGAAAGCCCAATAGAAAAGAAACTGAAACCAGCAAGAGACTTTGTGTTTTAGTTGCAGATTGGAAGTGATGTGTAATAGGAACTCTGTATTTCTCAAATGAAGAAAGTGTTTTGACGTTCCAAGATCTCTGTTCCTGTTTTTAACAATAATTATGTTTTTCATCTTAGTCTCTGGAAAGCACCCGTCGGATGTTGCAGCTGGTCGAAGAGGTAAGGAATAGCTTATACTAAAATAAAACAACTAGTTCCCATGCTGATATTACCATTCCTGACCCCTCCTGCCTTTCCCTTGGCCGTGACCCTCTTGCTTCCAGTATTAGCCTATCAGGAAGCCAGAAAATGCCGGAAGTACTGTATATAAGTTAGCAGCCCATCATGGAGTTGAATTCCCCTCCCTCCATTCCAGGCCATCTCTACAGTCTAGATAGAGAAGCCTTGTATTCCCAAGTCAGTGCTTTGAAAAAAATCACAAAAGGTGGCATCACATTAAGCAAATCAGAGCAATTTCAACATATAAAGGAATTACCTACATCATATTTTCATTTGTAATGATTTTGTTGCCAATAAATTGCAGCTAATCTTAAAACTCTGTTCTGACTTTAACCATACATATAACTTTGAAGATTTGTATCTGTGTAGGTATATCATTTTATGCAATTGTTATATTTAGAATCAGAAACTACATTTTATGAAAAATAGGGAAAATCTTTAACAAAGAGAAAAATCAAGCACAATGAAATAAATATAAAAGCTCTTTTATGTTCCCAACTCTAGACTGTACATCTATTTGTAAAGCACTTGTAATTCATGGCTAATGAATCCCAAACTATTTTTAAATGGGTAAAATAGGGAGACGGCAATAGTAGGATCAAAAGAGCTCTTACAATCAACCTAACTCATTCCAGTTTGGTAGAGCAGCAGTCAATCAAGAAGAACAAACGGATTAATTGAACTTTTCTATCAGGAGAGATGAAGCAGAAAAAGAATGGGCTGGACTATATTTATCTTAACCTAATAAAACAAGCCTAATGCTTTTTATTCGGCAAGATGCAGCTTTAGCAAGCTTTTCAATGTGACTGCTTATCAATGTATAGATTCCTATATGATTATCGTTCTAGGGATCTTGGGCTTTCTCTGGCAGAATGATTATCTGAGCCTACTCGCCCATCCCATGCTACTGTAAATTGCTTATGCAGTGACATGAAAGGGAGAAAAAAAGATAAATTTTACAAAGGCTTGAGGGAAAGGTAGCAGCCTCTTCCTCCTTGGGAGCAAACGCAGTGTCTTCATTAATCTCTGCAGCTCTAGCCTCTCACCTAGGAGCGAAATATGGCGAAATGTGAATGGACACAAAAAGAGTGGGGAGAAATGGTGGTCAGTTCCCTAAAAAAATGTTATTTCAAAAACGACAAACTGAGCTTGCAATGTAGCACAAATTGGCCCCCACAGGAAGGCAGCCCAGCAGGACCTTGGCAGCACAGGAGAGCAGCCTGTTGCTCTAAAGGAAGAGAAATGTCTCCTTTGCTCTGTTCTGGGGACACTTATGCAGAAATACTTGAACAACAAAACAGAGGCATAGAGCCTCTGTCTGGAAGTGTGAGACTAAGCACAGTCATAGTCTTTCCCAATTTGTTGGTAGCAAAACAACGGAAGGAACAAGACCTTGAACAGTCCTGCATGACTCCTGAGATTAGCACTGAATTATTTTATTGTATGCTACAGTATTACTATCATAATATTCTTTATGATCTCCAACCCTAGCCTCCAAACTCACTTCTCACTTGTGTACATGCTTGTAAATATGGTTGACATTTCCGAAACTGTCTCCAATTTATCCAGCTGTGCAGTGTAAATGCTGTGAAGCACTGTCCAGACTGTGGAGAGGGGTGAACCAATGCATGACAGTGTACTTCTTTAAACTGGCCCTTTGTCCTTCAGTCTTGGGAACTTGAACGCTTTTCTCTTGTGTGTCTTCTTAAAGTGCAAGTAGTTTAAGCCAGTCTTGAAAAATCATTCTAATTTATTCTAAAGGGGGGGGGGAAGCTCTATTGATTGAAACACAATTCTCAAATTATATGTTTTTGTTTCTCCTAAATTGTTTCTCGATCAAGCATGAAGTTGCATCTTAGAAAAAGGTGTGAAAAGCCTACCTCTGAGAAATAAGAGGAGGCTATTAGATATTCTGCCCTTAGGAAATTGTGAGCAAGGCATTATCAGAGTAGACTGACTTACTCTTGCTTCCTCCTGGGTTATTTTATATTTATGGTCAAACATCCCTTATGTCGAGGGCATTGGCTATTCAGATGATGTTCTGCTTTTCACTAAAAAAGGAAATTCTCTTTAAAGAGAATCAGTATTAAATATTCATCAAGGGCAGAAATCATTTGGCAAATACAAGGTTTGAAATACCAGGATCTTGCCCACAATCCCAAAGTTCATCAGCACTACATAATTTGAATTGAACTGAATCCTTATTAAATTTAGTTTCAAAGGCAGGAAAGGTTACTGAAATTGGGAAGTCTCCCTAAGGCAAACAGTCCACTTCCTATGGAAATGCAGCTTCACACTGTCCCTGATAGGCTCCAGGGTGAACAGCATGGCAGGGCTGCCCACCTAATTTTTAATAGAAGTCACCATCAGCATTTCAAGAGCAATCTAAAGCAGCTCAGAGGCCATGGGGGGAAATTTCAGAAAAGTTGAGCATCATAGACAGGTGGAAAGACTAGAAACTAGGTTGAACTTTATTGAAGGGAAAACCAACATGTAAACAGCTATCCAAATTCAAGGTCATAGATGCCTTGGTAACATAAGGAGAGAAGACTTGATTCTGAAAGGAGAATCAATAACGTATTCTCAAGGAGAGAGTATCTGAGAACAAGAAAACTTAACTGTGCCGATGCTGAATGCAGCAGAGCTGAAGTCTGTTTTAAGGAGGCAGATTTGAAAGCACCACACAACTTTCATGAACTGGTTCCTAAAACGCTAACATTTCATGAATATCGTAGCATTTCTCTTTACGTCAACTTGTCTTTCAAAATCCTTTGGCAATAGGAGGGAAAGAAGCATTCAAAAGCCACATTTATATTATGTAAGACTTTCTGTTCAAAATTTTATAAAATCAAGTTGGCAGTTCTTTTTACCTAAGCAACTCCGAGGTCCTTCAAGAACTCAAGAGAATGCCTGGGTGTCCAACCAAATTTTAGTTCCAATGTATTGTTTAGGGAAAGCATCTCAAAATGACAACAAGAACAAACTATTCTATAACCACTGTTTAGTTCATTGGCAAAATATATTACTACAATTTTAAAATAAAAATAAACAATGAAATTTTACAAAAAGAAATGATAAAAATCTCTCCAACTCCCTGGGTTTGAGATAGGCTGTTTTCCTAGTAACCTCAAGACAAACCAAGAATTGACCTGACGTAAAAGTAGGACCACCTCTTCTCATTATCCCTTCCAGCAGCTATTCCACAATATGCATCAAGAGATCAGCGACAGCAGTGCTCTGCTTCCCTTGCACTGTTTTCTACATCCCTGTCCTCTCTCTGAGCATCTAGATCTCACAGGAACAACCCAGTTATTTTGAAAGAAGTCATCAGGAAAAGTAATGAAACCAAATTTAAGCTCAAACATTTATTGAGAACCTACTATGTGCTAGGTACTGAGCTTGGAGACAGCATCACCATTATAATCAAATGTATATTACTTAATTTAATCCCAATAGCCACATTTTACCATTGTTCTTTTGTACTTTTCCTGGAACTCACTATGTAGACCAGGCTGGCCTTGATCTCACAGAGATCTTCTTGTCTCTGCCTCCCGAGAGTGTTGGGATTAAAGGCATGCGCCACCACACTGCCCAGTTTTTAGCTGCTATTTTGAGCCCTACTTTAAACACAGAGAAATCTGAAGCAAGCAATGGTTAAGTAACTTGCTTAAGACACATAGTAAGAATGAGCAGGAACGGTATTCATCCAGGTCTACATATTTCAGAGCGTGAATCTTCCATGCAGCACTTCAGTTCCTGTCTTCCCTAATCCTACATTGCCCCCCACCTTTGAGAATTCCACATCAGGCTAAAAGATCTGAGAGAGCAAAGCAGCTCATTTTAAACATGCTGAGATTCCACTCACATTAAATCCTGCATCTGAATATTCCTTCCGGAGCCCCACTCAGCCTCCCATTGAACTGAACCAGCTTTCAGAGAGCTGTTCCTTAGAACTGCTGTGGGGAGTGAGAGAGCCTCTGCTGCCCCATTTGACCACTGGGTGAGCTGAGACACAGAGTTGTTGACTTTAGAGCAACAAGACTATAGAGAGATCTAGAATGTATCATTACTCATTCCCAGATCACAGCTTTACTCACTGACCAAATTGTCTCTCACACTGAGACTGAAGGACAATCCACAGATTTTTCTAACCTTTATCCTCAATGTCCAGAACAGAGTAGAAATCCAGCAGATAATGTTTAATGAGTTAATGAAAGAGTAAATAAATAAATAAAATAGTAATGACTAAAAGGAAGAATTATCAAGGTGAGTGAATCAGTCTACCAACTGTATCCTTTTATTTGGTGTCTCTAGCTCTCCAATATAGGAAACCATGCTGCAACATCAAGTAATTCTTCCACAGTCTCACAGCTTGCTGTGTCTGAGCTGAGCATAACCCAGCTTTTCTGACCCCCAGGACAACACTATTTATGTTCTCCCTAATCAGGACAATGTCAAACACTATTGTTCCTTCAAATCACTTCAGTGAGTCAATCTTCTGAGGTTACCAGAATCTGCACTGTCACATCCATATGCCTGGCATACCACCTGCTTTTCATTATTTTGTTCTGTAAGCAATAACTAGCAAATGCAGATAAGGGAAAAGGATTAAAATGCAGCCTAGTATAGACAAAATTCCATACATAATACATTTTAAAGAAGACTAAGCTACCTTTTGTGGTCCAGACTCCCAGTCAGTGTGTGTCTTCACACAAGTAGCACGAAGTAGAACGTGTGAGAAATATGGGATCCCAGGGCCTTTTCCAGTCCCACAGAATCAGAATTTGAATTAGAAGACATTCATATGTAGGGTATTCATATGCATATCAAGTTTAAAAAGTAGTGGTGTGGAAATTTCTGGTGGCAGGAGGACATGATATTTTTAGTTTGCCTAGATGTTTTATCTATTTTGTGAATGTATTTAATAAACATTTTGTTATGCTGATTATAGGCAAGGTTTCATCCATATATTAATTTATTGATCTCACACAGGACCTCAGTGGGGTATAAGCTGTTGTGATTGCTGCATTACAAATGAGTGAACTGAAGCAGAGAGTAGTTAGGACACTTGCCTAAAGTCTGCAGCGAGGAAATGAAATCACCAGGATTCTAGCCCAGAATTTGACCCAGGAATCTGGCACCAGAATGGTTTTATCCATGGCTACCCCTAAGGTCCTCCAAGCCACCACCATCCATACTTTACTGTGATCAGTAAAGCTTGTTTCAAAAACAACATGGGCTTTGTGTCCCGCAGAGTTCGCTGTACACATTCTCTAAAATGTGACTTTATAACACTTCACAAAATCACTCACCATGTTTTATTTTGTTTTTTAGAAATATTATTGGAATTTAGTTGTTAGCCTCCAATAGCACCTCTATACTTCTTACTTAGTTCTAAGCAATAAACAAATAAGTCTACGAGAAATGTCTTATTTCAGAATTTATTCTGTGTTTCCACAAAGTTTCCTTGAAAAACAATTAATCCAACCTATACACAGTGGCATTGCATAGAAAGCCTTTACTTCGTAGGTCAGAAGTCCTACACATGGAAACTCCCAAGTACAAATAAGACAGTATCTTTGTCACTTCGCCCTTGCCCACCTACTTCCCTTCACCTCCTCCCGATAATCTAGGTGGTCTTGGTTTATTGATAAAACAGAGTGAGATTAAGAGTGCTTTCAAAGGTTTCTGTGCAAAAGAACTGCAGCATCTTTTAGAGGAGTTATTTTCTCATGCTACATCATTTTGCAGAACTGTAGATTTGAGAACATCATTATTTCTGATCTCACTCCCTTTTCAAACTTCTCCACAGAGAAGACAGGGGAATAAGTTTCCCTTTGAGCTGTACTTCTCAATTTTTGTAAACCTGAACAACAAAACTCCAAAATTTTTATGTAGTTTCCCCAGGCCACTGAGGGAGACTTTCTGATAGACCTTCCTAGGGAAGAAAATTCAACAGAGAGGATTTTGAAAAATTTACTTTCTGTGGTTGATGTTATAAAACCTATGGGTATTTTTATTTTCCAGGCATAAAATTACTATATATTAAGTATGTGCATTCCAATACATACTTAGTGTACTGAAGGCCCAAGTCCCACTCTAGGGAGGTCGTGCTCCATGCCTCCTCATGGCCCTGAGAGTCACTGACAGAACAAGTCTACAGGTTACTCCTCCCTCCCGGTCCTCCTGGTCCTCCCAGTCCTCCCAGCATTCCCAGCTCTCCCAGCCCCTTAACACTCTTGCCATGCTTCTTCCCTTTTTTCTTTTGGCCCTTCATTTTCCGTTTCTAGGGATAATGGTCCCCTTACTGATTTCTCTTTCTCTTTTCTCTCTCTAACTCCTTTTCAACTTTGCTACCATTGTTGGAATGTAGAGTAAAGATGCTGGTATCAGGACTTTGGTTATGTTGGATGAACAAGGAGGTAAGTTCAGATTTCTTCAGTAAGAAAAATTCTTCATCTGAATAAAGCAGTTTCTAATTCTTTGTGCATCTTCAGGTGACCATGTTGTATGTGTTATACATGTATAAGCATTCTAGAATGTTCATCTTGCTATCTTCTTTCTCTGTTTAAAAGATTGATACCCATGTAGAAATAGAGGCCTTCTACATGACCGAGTGAGTGATGCTACTATCTTTGGTGTATCTATTGAGATGATAGGATTTTAAAAGCAGAAGCAATGTGTGTGTTTTTAAGGATAATATCCTTGCCTCCAAACTTTCCCAACAATCTTGGTCTCCTTCCAATAATACCTAGATAGAATAGGGGTATAGCATATGAAGTGTACCTTTCTGTTGACCATCCAAATTCAGTACCTGGCAATCTTGTTTTTCAAATCACTATAGAGAGTTCTTAAGGAACTGAAAACTTTTCAATGTGATATCCAGAAAATAGAAATTTTAACCAATTGAAAATGATTTAAAAATCATTATGGAAAAATTAGGAGCAATAAAACACAGAGTCAGAAGGTAGTATGTCACCTCCACACTCTAAGGTAGAAACTATAAGGGCAACGCCATAATTTTCTTTATGTCCATATCTATAGAGAGTTCTTAAGGAACTGAAAACTTTTCAATGTGATATCCAGAAAATAGAAATTTTAACCAATTGAAAATGATTTAAAAATCATTATGGAAAAATTAGGAGCAATAAAACACAGAGTCAGAAGGTAGTATGTCACCTCCACACTCTAAGGTAGAAACTATAAGGGCAACGCCATAATTTTCTTTATGTCCATATATCCAGCAACTTGGAGATAGATACTATACATAATTCTAGTCACAAGTTACCTGTTTCATATATAGTCTTTTTGAGACAGTCTCCCTGTAACCCCAGTTGATCTGGAACTCACTATGTAGACCAGGCTGACCTTGAGATCACAGAAATCCGCCTACCTCTGCCTGTGTTGGATATGGGATTAAAGGTGTGCGCCACCATACCCGGATCCATTATGAATTCTTATAATAACTATTTTTTAGATGTTTTCATAGTTTGTAAAAACATTAGAAAGAAATTCAGGATTATAATTTTTTGAGTGGCAAGTAAAACATATTCCATCAAGGACATGATAAATTTCAAGCACAAAGTTCAAACTGAGAAGAAAATTGCCATGCTGATAACAACAATAAAATACTTTTCCCCAGTCTTTGAAAGTTGGGATACAGCAAGTCATTGCTTTAAAAAAAAATGATTAAATAGGGATGGAGAGATGGCTCAGCAGTAAAGGACACTGGCCACTCTTGCAGAGAACCCAGGCTCCATTCCTGGCACCCGCATGACGGCTAACAACTGTCCATAACTCCCATTTACACGCATGCAAGCAATACACTCATCCACATAAAATAAAATATTTTTTTAAATGATTAAGCAACAGGTGACCATATAGAAGCCTGACACCTCATTTCCAAAGCAAAATTTAATCAAAGATACTCAAGTAATTAGCAGTTCCACCTTATTAAGTCTTTCAGTTAATAATTGGCAATGTGAAGAAGGTAGAGAAAAGAAACTTGCAATAGAAAAAAGCTTTGGGAAAAGTTCAGGATAATGCCTTTCTTTAACTGTAAATCACTGACTTAAAGAGTGGGAAATGACAGATACAGACCTGGAATCAAAGAGAGAGAGAGAGAGAGAGAGAGAGAGAGAGAGAGAGGATATAGCTCAGTAGTAGAGTACTTGCTTAGCATGCACAAGGCCCTGGATTCAGTCCCCACAAATTCTTAAACACAAATGATTCCCAGGAGCATCTAGATCTCATTCTTTGAGAAACAAAGCACAGATTTCTTCAGAGCTGAACGATTTGGGTTGCAGCCACCCCAGAGCAAATGAATGTCTTCAGTGAGTGTATTTCCTAAGATAGAATAAGTTTTACCAGATGTATGGTGAATGGTTGATACTGATGAGAAACTTGCTATTATAAACCTCCAAAAATGGGTAACCTGGTGCCTGTCTGAAGGGCAAATATCCCAATTTTTACTGTGTTAGGAACTTAGGGCTTTTTAAGGGAAAGATGGGTGTGTCAATAACTATCTCCCTGCAGTGTCTAAACAAATGCGTGTCTAAACAAATGCGTGTCTAAACAAATGCATTTTAATTCTGTTTATTCAATGTTTACTTCTTTAGATCCATAATTGCTTTGCAGTTTCTCTTCAGTTATGCTGTACTAATTTTTTCTATGCCTGACACCCAAAGTATTGACTATTTCTACCTCACAGCTGCTCAAGGAACTGAAAGAAACAGCCATCCTTCTAGAGAACCTTTGCACCCACTGTGAAGTCAGGCCAGACCTTTGAAAGTTCTCCAGATGAACAGTTGCACTGGAAAGTTCCTTATAGGATTCTTGCTTTATACTCAGGTATCTGGAGATACCAAAGAGCACTGAATATGACAGCCCTGGAGACATATAGAGCCCCAGGACTTTTAATTCCCTAAAAGCCTTGTTTCCCAGGAAAATCCCCTAAATGACTGTCGTCCTTAAACGGGATGATCCACCCTTCCACTTGCTTCTTTTGTTGGTTTATATGTTTGCTTCTGTGACTGAGCTGGGGCTCTTTGAGAACTTCCCTGGGATGAACTAAACAGTGAAATCTCTGACCACCACTGCCTGGCAGAAGAAAGACAAAAATCAAGCCTGATCCAGCCAGCCAACTATCTTTAAAGTTAATGTTACTATAAGCAACATTTAAGAAAATAACCCTCAAGCTGGGCGTGGTGGCACATGCCTTTAATCCCAGCACTCAGGAGGCAGAGGCAGGTGGATCTCTGTAAGTTCAAGGCTGGCCTGGTCTACATAGTGAGTTCCAGGACAGCCGAGGCTACAGGGAAACCCTGTTCCAAAAAAGAAAAAAAAAAAAAAAAAAAAGAAAGAAAGAAAAAGAAAATGACTCTCTTGTTAACACCCACTCATCAAACATCAGCTATGAGTGGCTCAGGCTGTACTGTACAATGTGGTAGCCACTGTTCAGGTGTAGCCATTTAACTGTGTTTAAATTTATTTCTGTGTGTTCACCAGTGCTAAAGAAAGAAGAAATCACGTAGACAGCCTCTTTTATCTGAATATTATATGAAAGCTTGCATACTAGGTAAAACACTAAATGTGTTTTATTTTTTAACTGGGTTGAAGATTCTAGGGGTCTTGGGTTCCTTTACTCAGAAGAGATTAGTAGAAAAGATGTCTAAACAGATACCTGAGCAGTCTACCTACCATTGGTGGGTCTATCAAAGATTACTCATCACTTAAATAGCATGGCAAAAAAAAATCAGTTCAATCTCTGTTAACAACATACAGTGTTATCTCCTGGAAGACTCTCCTGATCCAAAATGTTCTCTCCCCAGCCTCTCAGAACACGCACACAAGCTTCAAGAGGGAAGATGCATTCAACTCTGGGCAGAAGCTTCTATGAGCCACACAGATACAATTCTACCCAGGAAGGAAATGAAGGCATTACATGCCCTCAAGCATTTCCCAAGAAGTGCTTCACAGAGCTCATTCCAGTTCTCTGGAGTCCCAGTGTATCAAAGAGACCCACAAATGGGACCCAGCACACTAAAAATTAGTGTCATTGCTAGACGACCTGGTCGAAATGGTTCTATGCTATTTTTTAGTTTAAGGAGTTTTGTATGTAGAGAGCACTTGACTAACATTGTAGATATAAAATAGTTTTCTGAATTAACTATATTCTGAATCAAATTGAGTATCAGACTTTCTCTTTTAGTCAAACCTTTGCCAACAAAGCTACCAGACAGAACTCAGCTTTCAGTTGCGTGAGTTTGGACATACTCATTTTTGCCTTAGTCTCCATCGTCTCATTCAGAAGTCTGACACAGTGGTCAATTCACATAAACGTTACGTCCTGTTCTCTGGAGACACAGGGGATGAAGCTTCTGAAATCTCATCAGCGACTCAACATTTTAGGTGAAAAAAATTAATTGCTCTCTTCCTTAAGAGAAATTCATCAAGAACACACATTCTGCCTCAGAGTTTGCACTGTAGCCTCCGTTTGTGCGCTGCAGTGAACCTGCCCTCTGCGCCCGGGCACATTCTTGTCCTTCAGTCCATCTTAACCCAGCAAGCTTACAAACTATTAGCAATTATTTCATTTGAATTAGCATCCCTGTTTCTATATGTATGCATGACAGTTCTTCATTTGATGACATGAAGACTTGAACCATATCAACCTAGGCCTGAAGGAGGCCACGAAGAAATTTAAAGACTTCGGGAAAATCTGTGTCCTTCCCCACACGTACCAATTCCCTCACTTAGGTGTTGGATTTGACTCACAAGCTAATTTACTGTGTTCTTAAAAAGAAAATGGAACTAAGTCTTTAGAAAGGGGAAAAAAAATTAGTCCAGCAGGGTTGTGCTTGTAATTCAGCACTCCTGATGCTGAGACAGAAAGTGTAGAAGTTTGAGGCTAGCCTGGGCTACATAGGAAGACCCTGTCCCCAGAAAAATAGGAAGGAAGGAAGGAAGGAAGGAGGGAGGGAGGGAAGGAGGGAGGGAGGGAGGGAGGGAGGAAAGGAAGGAAGGAAGGAAAGAAAGAAAGAAAAAAGGAAGGGAAATCCCCTAAAATATAAAAATCTCCTAGAATATAAAGATTTTCTTTTAAGCATCCCTGTACCTGTATTCATTTAGCAGGAAATCTCTAGAACTATACTAGTACTTCCTGCAAGCTGGGTAAACACTGAAGTTTCTTTATTCAGCATTTGCAAAGCATAACAGAAATACCATACCTAATTATTTGAAATTCGTTCTTAGCCTTGCTGAAGAGAACACTAATCATCTCTCAGATTTGTGATCTCCCTGATTTGGGTCACTGCTAAACTTACTTTAGGTTTTATATGACAATTTCACATTTATGTGAAATGGTTTTCAGGTGGCTGTTTATGCTCTTAGGCTGGAAACGTGCCTGTCGATCATATCCTGCGAGCAAGCCTTACTTCTAGAGGCACAAGCATGCTCACATGAAGATAGAGATGAAAAGAGGACTAGGGTTGTAGTTGAGTCTTCTAATTAGACAGCCAGGACATCTTATTACTGTTCTCCTTTAATGGTCTTAAAAAGCTATTTGAAAAACCTCCTTCATTAAACTTATAGTTAGCCCAATTTGGTGACACATTTGGAAAAATTAATCGAGTTGGTCCATGCAACCCCGGCAATCTAGAACTGTGATTCATTTTTATGACTATAGATCTGTGCATTAGATGCACTGAAGTCAGCTTTGCTAGCAGTGATGGCACAGTTCCAGTCCATCCCCCTCCTCCAAAGAGACATGCATTCTCTCTGTTCTGTTCCCTGGGGCTGGTAGTTAGCACGCCACGCCACCGTACACACTGGGGAATCCAGGCAAAAGAATGGAATGCCTTCCACAGCTTTTGTAGCAAGTCATTCATAGGGTAAGAAATGAACTGAAATGTCCTGGTACTTACAGTATTGTTGTGTTGATGTTACTTTCTTTTCCAGCTTCTATGAATTAAATACAGAAAACCAAGAACAGACCATGGGCCACCTTCGGCTAACACCCACTGTAGGGAAGTGCAGAGACCCATAACCGTGCATATTATTGCTTGCCGTGTGTGTGTGTGTGT